TGCTGAACAAGCTGAATGGGATGCTCCTCTGCCAGCGCCAAAAGAGGAACAGTGGAGAATATGGACGGACTCACTCTGTGAGCTTGAGCAGCTTCAGATTGAAAGACCTTATGTGTCTGTTTCCTTGTGCTCCACAAAACACAGAGAACTCTGCGTCTTCTCCGACGCCTCCACAATGGCCATATCAGCAGTGGCCTATCTCAAAGTAACTGATAAAAAAGGACACACTCACATTGGATTCCTCATGGGCAAGGCAAAGCTGGCTCCGCATCCCCCGCACACTGTTCCACGGCTTGAGCTTTGTGCTGCTGTCTTGGCTGTTGAAATGGCAGACTTAATTACAGAAGAACTCGACGTAGACATCCACAAAATCACATTCTACACAGACAGCCGTATTGTATTGGGCTACATCAACAACACAAGTAGAAGATTCTATGTATATGTCGCCAACAGAGTCACTCGCATCAGAAAGTCTACAAGCCCGGAACAATGGCACTTTGTCACCACAGAACACAACCCTGCAGACCATGGGACTCGCTCAGTGCCGGCAGCCATGTTGAAAGACACCAACTGGTTCAAAGGACCAGCCTTCTTAGCCAAAGGCACCCCACAGCCAGAGGAGTTTGAGCTCATCGACCCTGAAGCAGACGCAGACGTACGCCCACATATCCAAGCTTTCATGACCAAGGCCTTCAAAGTCGAGCTGGGATCAAACCGATTTGAGCACTTCTCCAGCTGGAAGTCACTCATTCGAGCCGTTACTAAGCTCATACATAAGGCCAGGTCCTGTGCAAAGGGCTCATTCAGCAGCACGGATGAGTCTACACAAGCAAAACTAATAGTCATCAGAAACGCTCAACACGATGCGTTTGCGGAAGAGATGAAATGCCTTTCCAGAGGTGAAGTCGTTCCAAGGTCAAGCCCTCTGAGGAAACTGAATCCAATTGTGGACAAGGACGGCCTGCTGAGAGTTGGAGGACGCATTTCTTTGGCTGACATACCCTGGGAAGAGAAACACCCAATCATTGTTCCCAGAAAGCACCACGTAGCAACCTTATTGGTGAGGCATTACCATGCAAAGGTCGCTCATCAAGGAAGACATCTGACAGAGGGTGCTGTTCGCTCTGCTGGACTGTGGCTGATTGGTGGCAAGAGACTGGTGTCAAGCATCATACATAGATGTGTGACCTGTAATAAGCTGAGAGGAAGAATGGAAGAACAAAAAATGTCAAGCCTACCTGCTGAACGACTCGACCCTGGTCCTCCATTCACGAATGTAGGTGTCGATGTGTTCGGCCCATGGACCATAAGCTCAAGACGAACTCGCGGCGGCATTGCAGAGAACAAACGCTGGGCAGTCATCTTTACTTGCATGGTAACAAGAGCCGTGCATATCGAAGTGCTCGAGTCTCTGTCCTCCTCAAGCTTCGTTAATGCACTAAGAAGATTCACAGCTGTCCGTGGTCCTGTTCGCTTGTTTCGTTCTGACCAGGGAACAAACTTCATAGGGGCATGCAAGGAGCTTCGGATCAAATCTGATGACCATGAACTGAATGCCTACCTTTATGATCAAAGAGCCACCTGGACCTTTAATCCTCCCCACTCCTCCCATATGGGTGGAGTGTGGGAGCGCATGATAGGTATTGCCCGGAGAATACTGGATGCACTGCTTTTACAGACAAACACTGCCCACCTGTCTCATGAAGTTCTGGTTACGCTCATGTCTGAAGTCATGGCCATTATGAACGCTAGACCCGTTGTTCCGGTGTCATCCGACCCAGACATGCCCACAGTGCTCACACCTGCCATGCTGCTAACACAGAAAGTCGACCCAGTGCTCCCACCAGCGGGAGAGTATGACCTTAAAGACCTATACAGCAAACAGTGGAAGCAAGTACAAGCGTTGGCCGACTCATTCTGGAAACGCTGGCGTCAAGAATATCTGGTGTCACTCCAACCAAGGAGAAAGTGGCACGTGGACAAGCCAAACCTGAGCGAAGGAGATGTTGTGCTGCTCAAGGATGCACAGGTCAAGCGGAATGAATGGCCTGTCGGAGTGGTGGTGAATGCTATTCCTAGCAAAGACTCTAAAGTTCGCAAAGTGGACGTGAGGGTGGGCAGACAGGGTACTCAGCGGGTGTATTCTAGACCTGTCTCAGAAGTTGTTCTACTTGTAAAAAGGGAATAGTGTTATTATACATTATAACAAGCGGGGAGTGTTATGTTATGTTATGTTTATCTGGGGAAAGAGAGACCTCTTGTGGTGACTCCTGATGTAGCGTAATGTTTACGTTGTACTTTTACGTGTCAGTTCTATGGCTCTTGGTGAAGTAAACAGTCACGTTTAGTGACGGTCTTTTTCTATCTGGATTTAATTTGGCCTGAATACACGTTTGCCTGTAAGTACGAATTGTTACAGTTATCCTGACATTTAGCACTAAGAATTTTAGAAATTAAATCCTTTAAGGAAGTTTGAGTTCGTTCTAAATGTGTATTTTGATCACATATGCTAAACGTTAGCTTCGTAATGTAATTTTCCATAGAAGTTAGCATTAAGCTAGCGCATTTGTTTATGTTTAACAGACTATATTTCAATATTGTTTTTGAACAACAACTGTATTCGAATGAAATACTAAAATGTATTGTTCTTTGCAGTTTTACAGTGCTTCCTGAGTAAAGTTTGGAAAGGATATGCAAGCTTCATTCTTTGTCTTGGGGAAACTGTTAACTATCTGCCGAGCTGATGTAAAAGGCTAGGCCGCACAATACACACACAGAAGCAGGGGCAGAACAACATCGTTAAAATAGTCCATGTGACTACAGCGATTCAACTTTAATTTTATGAAGCGATGAGAATACTTTTTGTGTGCAAAAAAAAACCCGAAACAAAATGAACCACTATTTTCAACAATTTCTTCTGGTGTCAGTCTCTGGCGCTGTTCATGTTGTAAACACAGTGCAGCACTTCCAGGTTCTGGGCCTTAAAAGTTGCAATTACGTTGCAGTTGGGGGGAGTATGTGTAGTTGTGATCAGAAAGCTCTCTGATTTCATCAAAAATATCTTAATTTGTGTTCCGAAGATGAATGAAGGTCTTACGGGATTGGAACGACATGATGGTGAGTAATTAATGACATAATTTTTGGGTGAACTAACCCTTTAAAATAGATTGTTTCTTTATATATGATAAACATCTATAAATGTAACAATTTTATATTTCTCCATTGTTTTTATATTTCTTCATTCAATTATTTCATTAATTATGCTTCATGAAATTGTAGTTGTTTCCCTCATTAAGGCTGTTAAATGTAAAAGCTATAAAAAATTCCCTAGAAATGAATGGGAAAAAATACTTGTGGAACCAAGGCTGCTGAAAAAGTGGGCGTGCAGCCACTGTTGCTCTCTAGTGATATTTTGTTTCACAGTCCTTTTGATCACATTGTATTCACGGTAGAACTGCCTTTTAGGTTTTGGAATAACAAGTTTACTGTGTTTGTGGTGAACTGGTTAGCAGGTTAATACTTCGACAGACCTCTTGGTGGCACCCCTACAGAGGGTTGAATGGTACCTGCTACACCCTTAGGACTGTAACACAGTCTATGATGGGAGCCTCAAATTGCTTTAAGGCCTCTTGATGTCTGTTTCTGCCCAGGGTTTTCCCTGACTGGGTTACACTGGTTGCCATAGGGATATGGCATGCTGCCCTGCCATAATCAGCTTGCCATGTTATACTATATGAGGGATTGGGGCTAATACGCACCATTTGCGGCTATCTTTTGGTGCCTTCAAATTGAACAGTGTTGGCATTTGGATCGTGTTTCCAAAGGACTTTAATGAAACTGATGTAATGATAAAACCTTCACTAACAGTGTGTTGATACTTGGCATGGGGCCTTGATGTGTGAGTTCTGCCAGGAGGTCATGTAAGGTCTAGAGGTGAGATGCGGACACTTCCTGTTGATTTCCTCGAGTCCAGTCTGTCTCAAACAGATACGCAAATCCAGGTGTATACGCACTGTATATTGAAATACGCAATATACAGTGGTCGCAAAAATATTGTCACACTTGAAAATATATGACAAAGTATGACAATGCAAGTATCATCTAGTGTAGAGAAAGACTTTCAAGCTAACATTTAAAAACAAGAAGTTTGTTCAAAATTGACACTTTGTCATTCGTCAGTGTAGCATGTTTATAGTTATTTTGATAAACTACATCTGTGTGAACTTGGGGGAGCTGACTTCCTACTTAGTAAAAATCTCCAATGGCACCAGTTGGGTGCAAAAGTCATTGCAAAAGTTAGTTATAATGGTTTTGCATTGATTTGCTCTTTTATTATCTAATACAACAAGATAATAATGTGGAAGGATAATTTTATTACCTAATGCAATAAAAACACATTTTAAACGTGGCTTAAGTGTCCAAATGTTTTGAGTCTAGTTTATATAATAATTAATAAGTATATTTTATATTGGTGCTGTAATAAAGGTACTCCTATAGAAATTGGATAAGAGGAAGACAAACTAGGTATATTGTTTTAATTTTAAGTGCTGACGGATGATATGAAATTTACACTGTCTATAAAGGATTGCTAAGATATGACATGGGCAAGTAAAGGCCAATTCACACTGCACCGACAGACAGTGAACAATGCGGACAATAACCAGATTACAGTGTGTCACTTCTCAGACATTCTTAGACATTCCACAACCCGACAAATGCCAACTGAATAAGTTCAATCAGTGAAAACCAGCACAACAAACTCACTGATCCGATAAAATCCAACGAACGTGTCTGGTGCTGTTGGTCGGCATCTGTCGATGCAGTGTGAAATTGGCCTTAAAAGTGGGTAATGTGAGTATAGTTCTGCATGGATAGCATGCCAATACCACTAAATAAAGGCTATAACATATCCAAAAAAATCAACCTGCATTATCTCTTGTCATGTACAAGGTGAATCTTTTATCTAGTACTGAAGACATTATCAGGCAGTTTTTTTTTACCGTGACTTTGAAAGTAATGGACTTCTGTAGACCCTCTGGGGAAATCTGTAGAAGTTCAGCCACCACTCGGATCTCCTGAGCACTCACAACTGATGCCACTTCCTGAGATTCAGTCTGTCAAAAAAAAAAAAAAATCGAACTTATTGCATTACACCACTGAAATAGAGCATTATAGTGCAGCAACATGAGGGGAATCCAAGTGAGGAGGATGCAACCATTTTTTTGAGTTTCAATGTACCTCATATCTCTCAAAGAAGACATTTCCTAAGTGAAGGATGGAAGACAGGACTCTGAAGATACCGTTCTGATCTTCAGCACTGAAGTGAAGTATTTCCATGGCACTTAGGAGCCTGCGGAAATCCTCCCCATCACTCTTGCCAACAATCTCACAGTCTCCACCCTTGCGACCAAATAGAGCATCCATGAAAGAGAACAACCGTCTAGTTTTTGAGGATTTTTTTTTTTTGTTTAGTTATTTTTGCTATAATAATCTAGTTGATTAAACCATGGTCTCACCTGATTGAGGTAATAATACGTCTCGGCGTCTTGAAGGTAGAAAGACTGCTTCTGCTGTGAAGGAAGGCCTGCAAGCATCTCATAAAAAATGTGATAGTTTCTTTCATCTTTGGCCTGAGAAAGAAAAATTAACATTGTGGTTGTCTATAAAGAATTTGTTTAATAAATTATTATTTTAAATATCTATGAGCATTATGAAGAATACCTGAAACACAATCCTGGACTTTTCAAGTAGATACTGTGAGGTTATGGCACCGCTGATTACCCCTCTGTTTGGGAGCAGGAAAATCAGACAAGCATTAATATGTAATTATTTGCAACTTAACCCATGTACTCTAACATACAGTCATTTTAACCAGCATCGTGTGAATCTTGATCCTGTTATCCTCTTTCAGTTGTAAATGTACTCCATAAGTGTTCACTGTTTCCTTATAGGTGTATCAATAACATTGTAAAGAGATTTGGAATTGATAAACTTACTCTTCCATAAATATTTCCATGTATTTCCCAAATCGACTGGAGTTATCATTCCGTACAGTTTTGGCATTTCCAAAAGACTCTAAAAGAGGCGTTGCTTCAAGAATCTGTAGATTATGCCATAAATTAATATGTGAGAAGTATGTAGCAATAATAACTGCAAAAAACACAAACATATTATTAATAGTTTTGTCTTGTTTTCATGTTAAACTATCTAAAATACTTAAAACAAGATACATTTACTTGAGAAGCAACACTGCATGAGACTTGTGTTCATAGATTGTATCTTAAAGGGGTCATATGATGCGATTATTTGTTTTCCTTTTTCTTTAGTGTGTTAAGTAGCTGTTAGTGCATACATAAGATCTGTAGAGTTACAAAGTTCATAATGTCAAACCTAAAGAGATATTCTTTGTAAAAGTTAAATGGTTAGTTCACCCAAAAATGAAAATTACTCACTCTCATGTTGTTCCAACCCCGTAAGACTTTCGTTCATCTTCGGAACACAAATTAAGATATTTGTAAATAATTCGAGAGCTGTCTCACTCATCTACTGCCGGCCCAGAAAGTTAGAAAAAACATCGTTACAATAGTCCAAGTGACTACAGTGGCTCAACCTTAAGTTTATCAAGCGACGAGAATACTTTGTGCGCAAAAAATAATAATAAAAAAATAACGACTTTATTCAACTATTTGTTTTCTTCGATGTGGGCCTCTGAGTGAGTTGACATAGTGTAACAGCGCAGCGCTACGTCAGAACGTAGGCTCACTATTGGCCAGCATCACACTCATGACCAGCGTCGGACAATAGTGAGTGAGCCTACGTTTTTGCGCACAAAAAGTATGCTCGTCGCTTGATAAACTTAAGGTTGAGCCACTATAGTCACTTGGACTATTTTAACTGTGTTTTTACTAACTTTCTGGGCCGGCAGGTTTCAAATAAAATAGAAGAGTGAGACAGCTCTCAGATTTAATCAAAAATATCTTAATTTGTGTTCCGAAGATGAACGAAAGTCTTAGGGGGTTGGAACAACATGAGGGCGAGTAATTACTGAGTTTTCATTTTTGGTTGAACTACCCTTTAAGGCTCAGCCGAGCCTACCTAAAATGCTTCGTTCAAACACGCCCCCACAAATCTACGTCAGTATGTGGGACCAGAGTTTGATAACACCGCCCAAATGTAAATGCAAAGAAGGCATAACTTTTATTAGGCTTGTTCGACTTCATGCAGCTCTGCGCAGACCGATCGGCGGCAGACTTGAAGCAGTGCATGCCGGTTAGAAATGTTGTCCGACTTGATACAGCGCCGACGCCACGTGACGGTGACGTATGCCATCAAAGTACCGCGAGAGCGATTCGAGAGTAGCCGGAGAACTCAGCCAGCGCAGCTTCTGAAGAGCGGCTGCTCTGAGCTGCACGAGCTCTGATGACGACACAGCTGTTCCACGATTGGCCGGATTCACCGCATGACAACGATCACGTGCGTTTCGTGTTTATTCTCACACCTTTAGTTCCACTAAAGCTCACAAATCAGTTTTTTTTTTATAACCGTAAACACTCTTTTCATGTAGTCGCGATGTGTTGTGTTATGTTTATCAAAATAAAACTGATTTAAAAAACGTTGATTCCACTTCATTGATAGTGGCTATTTTGAACTTTATTCTTGTTCAAACAGATGCAGTATGAAGCAGTAGGCCTACATAAAGTATTGAATGAAAATGTGTCTGAAACATCTGTGCATTTGGCAAATATTGAATTTATTTCACTTCAGCTGTGGTAAAGTATACAAACACCACGTGAGCGGTCACTACGGGAACCAGAAAGTGTCCGACTTCACGTCTCCGTTTGCAGCTCCTCCCCGCCTGCACGCGGCTACTCTCGCTGATCAGTTACATCCAGCCGCAGCCGATGTCGAACACACCTATTCTCTCTGTGTTATTGTTGCCCTGAGGCGGCACCCGCCATGTCGTGGAGACTGTGTTTTTCGTTGCGAAAGCCAAACTACTTTGTTTGGCCTTCCAAAAGAGGACACAATTATAAAACAGTGGGGCAATTGAATCCATCTTTGCCAGTACATTCTGGCGCTTCTGACTCACAGACAGAGCCTGTAAGTATGTTTCAAACGCGAGTTTTGAGCAGTACATGAGTAGCGCTTGCTTGTCGTTTCTACGATCACAAACAGACATGTTTTTATGTTTACATAGTGTTGTCCTAACCTGACTCCGCCAGATGGATTTGCTCCGCATATCCATCTGGAAACCTTCCGTTGAAGTAGTTTTGGTAAGGGGCGAAAATACTGGTTAGCTGATTGGCCTATGTTGGTGATAGACGGGCCAAATCAACCAATCAGATCAACGAAGCATATGACGTACTAACAGAGCGTATCTTTTCCTCTGAGAAAAGCCTCCAGAGCAGTGTTTTGCTCTTCTTTCAGTGAAGAAATACTCTGTAATTCCGATAAAACTTGCTCGATAGCCACGCTGATGCTAGTTTCATCCGCTGAAGCCGACATGTTCTTTAGACTGAACTGACGCGCTTCTCGTTGCGTCACACCTCAACCCGCCTCAAAGCCAACGCTGATTGGACGTTCGTTTGGTGAACTGCTCCCAAATTTTCTTTAACGGAAAGTATCCAGACTGATCTGCGAGTGAAACCTTGAAAGCTCGCGAGATCAGGATGGTCTCACGAGGCTAGTGTTGTCCCCCCGTAGTGCGGCACAACGCGTAAAAAGACAGTAAATCATTGTAATCAGTAATGTCCCCAATTAAATACAATACCAATCTGATACGATCTGTTCCAGTCGCGCTTGCAAAGTTGATCGATCAGCTTGATCATCTGCATTTTCCGGTTCAGATTCGGGCTCGAATTGATAAGCTAGTTCCGACATTATCACCTGGATATTATCATAGGATATTATTGCTTTGGGAGCTGATGTTCCAAATATGGTAAGGGTCGTGACATTTCAGTCACACGCTTAAGGTTTTTGGGCCAATCTCAATGCACTGGATCGCTGGCCAATCAGAGCACACCCCGCTTTTCAGAACGACCTCTGCTTTGTAAAACTCGACGCGTTTCAGAAAGGCGGGGCACAGAGGAGCAAACAATAATGTACAGTAGCCTATGTTTAAAATAATTACTTTTTTAACCTAAAAAAGCGTAAACACATTCCATTAAACCAAATAGGCCTACACAAAATAATGTTCTTTTTAGAACCATCATATTACCCCTTTAAATGTATGTTGTCTTACTGCACTGGGAGTTTTTCCCCCCACTTGTTTCTGAACCTGTTTATAACGTCAAAACAATCTGCCAGTGTAATAAGAGAAAATGCCTTTTTTTTTTAAGATTTAAGCCTGGCAGCCAGTCTTAATATTTACTATCTTCCATATAGCAATCCAAAATAGCTACCAAAAAAAAGTGCTTTACTGTTTCTGCAAAGCATGTGATATTCTTTTAGTTGAAGATACTTTCTATAGATTATTCACCACTTCTGTTAAATTGTTTAATACTCCATAGGTAATTAAAAAAACTTTTGCACACTTGCATATCACAAAGTGCCACAAGCCATGCAAAAAAGGTTGCAAACAACAGAAGGCCACGCAAAAGTACAATACCTCAATCTGTATGATAGCATATAAAAGTAAAATACAAGAAAAAGATAAGTTATAAAATGTGCATGAACTGAGTTTAACAGTTTTCAAAGATTTGATTAGCTTAACTCATACCTGCTGTGTGACATTCTGTTTGTGATGTATTGCTGCTAAGTACCGGAGAACTAGCTTTGTGGTCTCTGTTTTACCAGAGCCACTCTCCCCACTGAAAGACAATAAGCACATTTAGACCACATGATGACTCTAACCCCCTAAAGTACCAGTTTAACTACTTAATTGGCATAGAATGCGGCTTGGCATGTGAGGAACCGATTTTCTTGTCTTTTGCCATGCACTTAAGTAATGAGTGAGGTGTCTGATCATCAGACAGAAGTGAAATTGAATGCTTGATTGGGACTGTCGTTCCAGCTACTCTGAACAGCCATGGGTGCATTTCACAGAGACATGATCTGCTGGTGCAATCATGGCCTAGACATCAGTAGTCTTTCCTTACAGGTATCTCCGTCAGAGCTAGGTTTAAAGTGTTCCAGGCGATCAGCTGTGTCAAGTAGAACTGACACTGATGCCTCCATCAGTGTAAAAGACTACTTAAGGTGACAGGACATAGATTATCTTAGCTATTTGAATTCTGTCTGTTATTTTAATTAATCTTTCCAAAAACACATTAGGAGTTAGGTTAGTTGTTCAAATATATATATTTTTAAAAAATATTTAAAATATTACATTCTGTGAGATAATCTTACATGTTTACCTTAATTTAATCCTACCTGATAATAATGCACTGGTTTTCTTTGGCATCCATCATTTTTGTGTATGAGGCATTTGCAATAGCAAATAGATGTCTGCAAACACAATGGATAAGTTCAAAACATTTAAGAAAAAAGTACAATACTGTATAAGGAATTAGCCTAGCATTGATAAAAAAGCGATCATCCGGTTAAATACTACTGAAGTTTAAAGTAAAGGGTTAAACTTAAGTATTATGAATTAATTAATGCATTTATTAATGAAAGAACTTACGGAGAATTCTCTCCAAGTGCATGCCCTTTGTGTTGTAGAACCATGTCTGTTCCGTAGATGTTGAACATCTTGTAGGGATTAACAGCCACCAGAATACTTCCAATGTAAGTCTTGGGACAAACAAAAACAACATTGCTTTTCAAAACGCATCATTGTTTAATTTCCTTTTTAAATTCACTCAAAACTCTTTGTACTAAAATACTTACAGAATAAAAGTGTTTTAATTTTAGTTTAAAATTTTATTTAACCAGTGGTTAAAATACATAATTCTTAGTTCTAAAGAAATGCATGGATAGCTTTTAGTCATAAAGAAACTAATGAATGTACTATCCATGTGTAGTAGACTTTGCATTTGACTTACATATATCAGATTGCGTTCAAATCTTTTCTTCAAATTCAGCAACACAGCACCTTCATGCAGGTCCCTGAAAAGAGTTTTATTTTTTATGAAAGCACTTAAAAGTGAACACAATGTCATTATATATAGCATTTATCTTATTCAATAAGCTCATACTCAAGCTGTGTCATGTCCTCAAACCCATCCTCCTCTGCACGTTCACGATACAGCATTGTGGGCAGACTTCGAATTGAGTACATCTACAAAAAATTGTGTAAACAATGTGTAAGCCTAAACCAAACATGATATAAAGCTAGTATTTCACACTATAATTATTTATAGACCTTAGTCAGGGTAGAGACGCAATATTGAATTTTACATTTATGAAAATGAGGCTGTGAGGGATATACTTGCAAGTCTTATAGTCTTTGCAATGGCATACACATTTTGTTTTTGTCTACTGAAAGATTTTTGGAAAGATGTTTCATCAGCAACTGGTATGTTGTTAAACAATAGTACAATTCATTGAACACACTGTACTTCTGTCCCTCATGGCGTTGTTTTCATTCCTGTCAAAAATTAAATATGCTGCTACGGCTAAGGTCTATTGAAATGATACCTGTATGCTGTTGTGATATAGCTGGCATGGCAGGTGTATTTTGGTGCATTGTATACACAAACTTAAATACATTACCAAATCATCCATCCATCCATCCATCCCTAGTCCATATTGTCTAATATCCAGCCAATACCAAAGTCATAATATTTTCCTTTGATATGACATTGCCCAACATCATTTTTGACCCATAGTTTTAAATCTAAATTTCAGTATTTCTAATCTAATTGTTTTAACCTGAATCTTCAGTCATACAATTGTATTATTTTAGTGGCACAGATATTGTACTATTATTTTTGTATTTGTTTCCACTGTAGAACAATTCTACAGGAAAGGTCTACAGCAATTAAAAGCTGAGCAATGTTTTCTTATAAAGAGTAACTATATGCAAGTTATGTTACCTTGTCATACCAGTTCCCTTGAGGTTCACCTTCTCTATTTGGTAGCCATGCAGGTTCTGTGCTATCAGTCACTTGGCCAGGAAACACAGGGACGACAAAATTCTCCAGTTCTTCATCCCTATACATGGACCATTTTGTGAGGTTCTGAACAGTATGATGAGGGAGGACTCTTTCTGAAGACCAGACATCATCTGGCTCATGAAAATCTATTATTTGATTTTGAGCCCAGTGTTCACCAGACTGACCCTGAATCTGAGGGGTCACTACTGCGTACCTTGGGTCCTCTGGAGAGCGTCCCAGTGTTGACGGCAACTTGTAGGAGGCTTTGCGTAAGTTAACGTTCGTCAAGGCATTTCCCAGAAAGGGTGAAGTGGGAGATTCACTTTGAGCTGGTTTAGCTCTTGTCATGATTGATCCATCAGGCAATCTGTAAGATGCTTTACGAAGATTTTGGTTTAGGAGGGCACTGGACATCATTGAAGAGGGAGCTTGCTCTTGTTTAGGCTTTTTAAACAGGCCGGAGGTATTAGGTAAGCGATAGTTGGCCTTACCAACATTTTGTAATGCACTTGACAAATTAGATGAAATTGATTGCTCTGGTTCCTGTTCAGAGCTCTTAGTCAAAAGTGTTCCATCAGGAAGTCTGTAAGAAGCCTTACGAAGGTTTGAGTTCAGAAGAGCACTTGAAAGATGTGGAGAGGGTGACTGCTTTGCTGGTTGGTTTCGGGAAAAAAGAGTACTATCAGGTAGTTTATAGGAAGATTTACGTAGGTTAATATTCTGTAGAGCACTTCCCAAGTATGGTGATGATTTTGTTGTGTCCACGGTTTGATCAGTGCTATTGGATACAAGTGTTCCATCAGGAAGCCTGTAACTTGCTTTTCGAATGTTTGGATTCTGAAGAGCATTGGATAGCGGTGAAGAAGATTGAGCTGGTTGTGCTGGCTCATTTCTCATTATCGTACCATCAGGGAGCCTATAAGTTGCTTTCCGGAGACTGGGATTTTGCAAAGCATTTGACAGAACAGATGTAGTAGCCTCCTCTTTTTGGCCTCCTAAATTTCTAGATATTATTGATCCATCAGGTAGCCGAAAGGAAGCACCTTGAAGGTTTCGATTCTTTAATGCATTTGACAAAGGTGAGGAATAATCCTGTGCTTGCAGGAAAGGAGTAGGATTCCTCTGTAAAGGAGAGGTACAGGATGCATTTCTAGATATTATTGATCCATCAGGTAGCTGAAAGGAAGCACCTTGAAGTTTTGGATTCTTTAATGCATTTGACAAATGTGAGGAATAATCCTGTGCTTGCATGAAAGGAGTAGGATTCCTCTGTAAAGGAGAGGAATAGGATGCATTTTTTAAGTTAGGATTCTTAAGTGCATTTGATAATACTGATGTTTGCTGTTCAGGCTGTGACATCACCGGAGCATATAAAGAAGTATTTCGCTGAAGAGGTGAGATATATGAGGCACTGCGTAATTGAGGATTTTGTAGTGCATTTGTTAATACTGAAGAAGATTGCAAAATGTTCTGTGGTACCTGCTGAGCTGCTGTGGGAGAATATGGAGATGTGCTTCTATGCAGTGGGGAAGTGAGGGAGGCATTACGTAGGTAAGGGTTTTGCAATGCATTAGAGAGCATTGGAGAATAATTCTGATTGATTACCTGAACCTCTTGAGGTGCCACTATAGAATGAGGAGATGCAGACCTTTGCAGAGGTGAGCGGTAAGTGGCATTACGGAGAAGTGGATTTTGTAATGCATTTGATAAGCCTGGAGAAGAGCTCTGAGATAAACTTTGGTTGATCTGTGACATTGGGGATTTAAACCTTGGAAAAGGTGAACTGAACGAAGCAGCAGCAAGATTTGGGTTCTGTAAAGCATTTGTTAGTAGAGGAGATGGCCCTTGTTCAACTGTCTGGGCAAATTCAGTTATTACCTGAGGCTGAGGAGTGCTACTCAATGGAAATTGTGATCTGAGTGAGGCGCGATTGATTAATTCATTATGCATAGCATTTCTCTGTGAGAGGATCGGCGATGGAGAGCGTAGAGACATTGGTGAACCAGCTCTCACTGAAAGCTGAGGTGACGGACATGGGGTTGGAACATGTCTCACAGAGAATTGTGGTGAAGGTACTCCTGGCCGTTTTATTGGAACATGTTGTGGAAAAGGGGGTTGAGCATTCATTACAAGAGGATGGCTCTGGCCTCTTATTGATTGTCTGAGAGGAACGGGACTTATTGGTACTCTCACAACAGGACGCCCTCTCCCAACAGGTCTATGAAACCCTCTCTGTGGATTTGGTGTTCCAGATGGAAAGAATCTCTTTGAGTCTTGAAAACCTGCTGGTCTGGAACCTTGTCTTGCCAACATGATAGGTGAGGATCTAGCACTCTGATTCAAAGCTCCTGAACTCATGGGTACATTATGGACTGAAGATCTGAACGGAGCAACGTTTTGCATTTGAGGAGTGCCATGATGACTTTTTCTTTGGAAAATTGGATTAACAGGAGATGGCTTAACTGTTCCCATTGGCACTTTGTTGCCACCAAATCCTCTGAATCTACGTGTAGAGGAACGAGTTGGTAGATGTTGTGGGTCATGTTGAATTCTGCCAGAAAATGCTGATGGTGATGGGGAAAGAGGTCTCTGAGATCTAGAGGCAAAGGGGGATATTGGTCTCGGAGACATCTGTCTTTGGGAGGGAGATGTGGCTCTGTGAGGTGGGTATGGTGAGCTCTCCTCTAGTGAATGTTGGCCTATTGTTGGAGACCGTGGAGGGCTTCTCCTCCGTAAAGATGGTTGTGGTGAAAAAGAACTTTTCCTGATAGATCTTGATGACATAAAAGAGTCCTGATTGCTTCTACCAATTGGCCTGAAACGAGATTTTGTTGGAGGGGCAGGACTAGCCTGGGAACTTTGTCTCAGTGTTGGTCTAGGCGAAGAAGGAGGACTTCTCCTTCTCATTGAGCCTCGTGGAGACATTGGAGGACTCTCTCTTCCATTAACAAGAGGAGATGGTGCTCTAGAACCAAATGGCTTTCTCTGGGGTATTGGAGATTTTCCCCTTAAAGAAGCTAAAGGTGATGGTGCTCGTCTGGACGGTTGTGGAGAAGAAGGGGGGCTAAATTTTCTCCTTTGGATGGGAGATAACTGCCTTTGTGCATTATTATTGTATGATGTTGGGCTAAACATTCTTGACTGCCTTGGTGAGAACCTTGGACGCATTTCCTCATACATATCAGATCTTTGGCGAGGTAGAGGGCTGCTTCGACCTGGTGAAAAATTACTTTGTCTTAAGGAGAGCTGTGGTGAGGGGAGATTGTTAAATTGTCTCATTGTTGGTTGGACATTTTCATGTGGAAAATCATGTCTCTGAAACATAGGATCTGGATAGACTAAATGGGGAGATACTGGTTCAACCATAGTGGGATCAAATCTCCTTGCTGACAAAACCGGAGATGATGGTGTTGAGAGTGGTATGAGTCCTACAGGTCCAAAATAATGTCTACTTGGGACAGGTGACACTGGGATTGGAGACGAAAAGTGTCTTGCCTGAAGAACAGGTGAGGATGGTACTTGGGGTGTTCTGGTTAAAATGGGACTACCAGGTGGTATAATAGATGCTGGTGTTTGCTGAATGAATATAGGCGTGGGAGAAAATGACCTTTGTACAGCTTCTGATTGATGTGGAGTATATAAAGGAAGGCTCATAGGTGAAGCATATTGGTTCTCATATTGGTCTGGAATCATCATTTCCCCATCATTCCTGGTGAATTGCATCGGACTTGCAATTTCAAGTTTTTCTTTTCCAAACAATTTTACTTGTGGTCTTGGGAATCTGAATGAATCTTCAGTCAATATTCCTTCTGTTGGTATTTGTACATACTCATTACCATACATTCCTGAGGGTTCTGTTGGTTCCATGACATCCTCCACTGTGTACATAAATGGCTGGTTAGCAACCATCTGAGAGTCAAGGTAAACTGCGGTGGTGTCTCCATTGTATATGTACTGATTTGGATTGTATGCATATGGATAACCTGGATATGTCATGGTGGCATCTGAAACACCATCATAGTGAATGTAATAATTTTGCTGATCACCATAATAGTCAAACTGTTCTGGATAGTATCCATATTCATAGTATTCCACATCATTACCAGGGTAGCCAAATTCATCTTCCACAGCATAACCCATTTCATCATAGTATTCCGTACCATCAACAGGGTATCCAAATTCA